TTCGTCTTTTGAATTTTGATCGAAGAACGTGCTGAAGCTGTGAATATTTATTATGTAAAAATATTCCGTGCATAAATTTCTAATGCAATTTTTATCAGGTGTAGGAGAAACGAGGCAGATCTAGCTGGTCTTTCCGTTGAGGCGTGAAATTAATTACCTGAACTAATTTAATGTCGCTCTGTGTGGTTTAGAGACTGAGCACTATTCTTCCGTCATATCGACACCTTCATCTGCAAAGCATCTTTCATTTCTTTCCTCTTTCAAATAGCATCCTGCATATAGCCTCCTAACGCACAGCTCCACGATGCCCTGATCATCTAGTGTTTCGCAAACTAGTCCTCGTATTTCCTCAAAGAGTTACTATTTATTCACTTTGTTCGCGTTTACTTATTTATTTTTTTACGATTTTATTTTAAGCTCACTGGAAAAAAAACAAATTGGATCTATGAAAACATTGACAAGAAAAAGGACTCTTGATTCAATCAGATTTAAGCTTAAATCAAAAGAAAATCCGCTCAAATTAAGAGGTTTGGCTCTTGATTTAAGCTCAAATCTGACTGAATCAAGAGTATTTTTTCTTGTCGATGTTTTTAAGAGTCTGGACTCTAGATCCAATGTGTTTTTTTCCAGTGCTTCATTGAGAGTATGCCGTATGGAAATTCATATTTCAACTCTAGTGGGTGCTGTATTAAGAGAACACTCACTGATTACTGAGGGGCCGTTCATGAAAAAACATGAGCGCTCTCGGAGAAGAGGGAGAAGGAGGAAAGGTAGCGTTCTTCTTCCCACCTAACCAGAGAAGTCCCTTTTGATGAATTTTTACTTTCAGAACTATGGAAAATCGAAAGCTCTTCGTCAAAAATTTTAGAAATTCGTAAACCATCAAAATTTGATTATACGTCTAGGCATTTCATCTAATGCCAGATATTACTATTAGTCTACACGATAGATAATTTAATCACTTTTAATATAAGAATGCAAAATTCAATTTAATTAGGAGACTGTCTCAGTGCGCACCAAGACATATGTTATCGCAATGTGAACTTAGCGCAATGAGGTGAACAATCACGTATAATGAAGCAGATACTTGCAGTGTTTGAAGGAACTGTGTCAGTGTGTTTTAGCATCTTCAGGGGTAAAGATTGCAGTCTGGATAATGGAAATGTATTGCAGGTTGCATTCGGATGCTTTAGTTCTTATCTTTGCGGTGAGGGCAGGTCAACCAGCAATCCGCAATCTCCACAGGATTATGAGCGACAATTTAAGTGTTCTTACCTAGGGTCTGCGTAGTTGGGGACTCGAAGGAGATGCGAACAATTAATCTAGACAGTTACATCAAGTTATATATTTACGCTGCCGTTCTACAACCGTGGGAGTCTCAGAGAGGGTGCAAAGATAACTTCTGTTCGACGCTACCGCCGACAATTTGCGCGTGAAAACAAGAAATACTCAAAGTAAATTGCGCAAATGATAATGGGCCAGTTTTCTCGCAAACTGTTCTCATGTCTCATCTGAGAATTAGTTATTTTTTTGTACCATGTTCACCCTGTAGATGATTTTTTACGACGTATTTGATTGGCAGAGTGATCAGAGGGATCATATTGTCGATTACCAGACGAAAGGACCTAACTCTATTCCGAAGCTGCAAAATTGACCAAAACAATTTTTTTTTTTTTTTTTTTTTTTTTTTTTTTTTTTTTTTTACACAAGGTACCTGTGTAATGTTCGTCAAAAATCGTTCTGCATTTCGCATGGGATCAGAAGCAAAATCAGTGATATTTTCAGTTAGAAAAGCCTAAGATTCTTCGAGTAAAAATGCAATTTGCTGAGGGAAATTTGGCAACATTGAAATGCAGTTACGTTCTTTCAAGAGGAAAGCAACGATGCATTGGTGGCTAAAGTGTGAAAGCACGTGCCTGAATTGTGTGTCTAAAAATTGCCGCTCACAGTTTATTCTTTTGAAGAGAACCAAGTCAACTATATTACTTAGCATTGGAATTTTTGGAATTTTGGCTTGGACTTTACGCAGAATATTCCGCTAACAGAGAAGAAAAGTCTGTGAAATTTTCTATGAATTACATTGATTGGTTTTCTAAAGCAAAATTAAAGTATGACAGGATGTCTGCAACGTCACATACGGAGATATGTGGTTTCACGTTTTGGTCACAGATATTTCGGTAGGTATATTGAAAAATTGGACAACATTTTGCAATTTGGAACTATAAATTCCAGCCCGGTTTAAAAACAACGTATGTGCCATTAGTTTCCCTTTGCACATAAGAGTTTTTCCAGAAGAGCGAGAATTTATAGTTCCACATTGCAAAATGTAGTCCAATTATCCGTCAAAGCTAGACATTTTCAATGGATAAATAGTTCACTGAATTTTTCTCCGAAGTGTTGAGGAACCATCCTAAAGCCTCCACTGTCCGATTTTAATAATAGAATTTGATCGGATACAACATGCTAACATGTACGTGTAAGGAATGTACGACTTTTTTCCTTAAACAATTTTTGAATCGACGAAGGTGATACGATGAGGACACCCATTGGAGGTACAGCTTGCTCAATCGAAGCGTTTATAATCTCTGAGCTGATGATAGTGTTCCTGATGTGAGGATTAGGAACGCGCTCTGTAACACTGCATAGATCCACTTCCTCGATTCGACTGCCAATAAGTAGTCTTCGTTCCCCAGGAAAAAGGACATAACACCACTCCAAGCTCAAAAAATTGTCTTAAAATTTCAATTTCTCACAGGAGTATTACTTTGCAATTTCCGTCCAAACTTTCACGGATTTTGGCGTGTAATTTGGAGAAAAATCAGCGAAATTTTCAGGAAAACCCCAATAGTTGGACAAACGAAGTTCCATCTGTGAGTGGAGATTTTGCAACCTTGAATTGTGTAGTTACATCAGTGGCGTGCGGTGGGTTCAGTGACAGGGCAAGCTGTAGCGTTCGCCATCCGGGGGGGGGGGGGGGGGGTTAACGTAGTCTCTTTCCCTTCCTCCTCCCCCTAGCCTCCCTAGAAAATTCTTAAAATTTTACTCTATATGCTCTGTTTTTCGGAAGAAATCTGATGGAACGTCTTGAAGAACTGTGGCTTTATTTCTTTCTCTCTTATGATTTCGTTTACTCAACTTGTTTCGATTGTTATTGATCATTGGAGGGCGGCTCCATGCTCTTAACTCCTAATTTTGCTATAAGTATTTTTTGAGTTACTTAAATTTCCCCAAAAATTAGCTTTCTGCATTTAAAACATGACTCAGAATTATCTAATTCATCAGCAATTAGATCCAAGTGAGCGAAATTTTATAGAATTTAAGGGCATTTGCTGCGGAGGAGCAATTACAACCGCGACCGCGACGGAAAGAGGGAGCAAGATAGCGCATCGGAGGCAGAAGCAGCGCGCTGCGGTGACGGGCCAAAAGAGAAGCGAGCTGCGATCGCGCAGCGAAGGGCTCGGACCCGGAACGTACCGCCCTACCCGCCCGCCTTGATTCCGCCGCCGAGCAGTGGCTCTCCGCTCAGCTGATCGCAAGCGATTCTCCAGCGCATGGGTTGGCCCGTGTTCGGGCCGCGCAGCGCGCTGCGCCACCTCCATCCGCCCAGCCGCTTTCCCACTGCTGTGGCTCTACACGTATTTCTGTCTCTCTCTTTTTCTATTTTTAATGCAATTTACTTACTGAACACCTTTTATAAATTATATTTGCTAAAATGTTCAACATGAAATAGGTGTAATTTTCTTCCTTCGTTTGAAATCTTTGGGCAAGCAGTGCTTGCCTTGCTTATCCGGACCGCACGCCACTGAGTTACATTCTTCCCTTAGAAAAACGATGAGGTGTGGTGTGTGAGATTGAGAGCGGTGCTGATTGTAGTGTTAAAAAGCTCAGTTCTACCACCCCATGCTTTTTTGTTGTATGAAAGATTTGAATTTATTTTTATAATAAATCAGAAAATGTATAAAGAAACGCTATTGGAGAGCATCTAAAAAATATGTTCAGAGAACTGATAGCCTCGCAACGTTATTAGTAGCCGTGCAAGAAAAATTTCTGGGGGGGGGGGGATGACTCACGCTTGGAGAGAAGCGGGCCCTTCGGTAAAAACTCTTAAAAGTCGCGAAAAATGACGTTCTTGGGGTGTCCAGACTCCTTGAAATCTGGGGATACAGTCACCATCACCGAGAGTGCAGTTATGTGAACCGAATGGCACGGTTGATACATAAAACATCGTTTTCCGGCTCATATAACTGAACTTTTTTTCTCAGTGTACATACTCACGTAAACAAGCTACGCAGTGGCGTGGCTTGCTGTGCGATATATCGATTGATCGGTCATTTAAACCTATGGAAAAGTATCGATAAACAGGGTGTTCGCAGCAAACACCTTAATAATCGATTATTTACCACAGCTTCAAATGGGGAAATATCGATAGATCGCAAAGCACGCCACGCCACTGAAGCTACGCTTGTTCTGCCGTGCTAAGGGAAAACGCCGTATGAGCTTTCAGGCGCTGCCGAATTTCCTCTGATGAAATAACAATTGATTGGGCAATTGTAAATATTTTTCTTTATATTTTTCAGATTGTCTTGTTTGCAATTGAATCTAAAATATTTGAAAATAAGGAAAAATACGCATAAGTTTTGTTAAAAATACATATTATATCCGGAGAATTTGGCAATGCTCGAATGTTTATACGGCGCACTGTGGATCAAGTCAATAGGAGAGGTCGGACAAAATTTGGAAATTTTAAACGCTTATAACTCCTTTTATACAAACCTTTGAGGTTCTGAGAGTGGTATCATTGGTTTCCTCGTAAAATTTTCTCTCAAAAGCACCCCTTGTAATTTAAAATGTGACGAAATAAACCTCTGAATTTGCAGTTTTAGTCAAAAATTTCATGTCCGACCTCTCTAATTGACTCGATCCACTGTGCGGCGTTCTTCCTTTGCACGGTAGTATTGCAGTCTTAATAGACAAAAGGGATGAAGGTATAATTTCTAAGATTTCGAGAGAAAAAATTTTATGTTTTAAAAATCATGTGCATTGAGTCTCATGGCTGAGCAATGTTGTCACTTGTTATAAAAAAGATTCTCAGGTCATATTTCCCTTCTTTTTTCCTCTTTAGCGTGATTTCTTCTTCTTTTTACCGCCGTGATGATCTTTGTTCTTATGATGTGGTGATGGGTCTGTTGGAGTGAGGACTTGGCGATCCGGCGCTGGTGCTGCACCCCTGCATGTCAGGGTTGCCACGTCGAAGTCCTCATCAGGGCAGGTCGAGGGGTTATCAGCACCCTGTAATCAGCAAATTAGCAATTTACAAAAAATAAAAAAATGTTTTACGTACTTTTCTTTTCCGTGGACAATATTATTGTTGAAAAACCAGCAACCTCTATCGAGATAGATAAAGACGTAAGTACTTTCACGAGCAGCGCAGCGGCAATTTTTGTAAGTTGGTAACACTGTTATACCTCTTGGCATTTTCATTTCTTTTGGAATCGATGTATTTATGTATAAATAAAGTCGCTCCTACAACGCACTCTGGCGTTCTGCGACACCCAAATGCCACACCATATGCCTATCCTCCCAAAGGTTATCAGGCAACTGACACCTCAACATATCTTCGCCAATTCCCTGCCGCCACCCCTTTGCGGGACGTCTCCGTCGCCTCGTGGAAATATAATGGATTTAAATGGAGGAAAAATGGTCCACTTCGCCTTAATGGCGAAGAGAGCAGTAAGTGCGAAATGAAGTTCTCAGAAATCGGGCTCAGAAACGTCGTACCGGAAAATGTAATTGAAAGGAGTCTCCGCTCTCTTTCACATTGCCACTAATCGTCCGGAAGACTCCTGTTTGGATGATTAAAAATCGACTGATTTTATTTCAATTACATAAAAAGGGTATTTTTCATTTTCATTTTCATACTAGGCTACTGTTAGGCGAGACAGCCGTAAGTGCTATCTTCTGCAAGATTTCGTGGTTGCGTTTTGGACACAGAACAAACACATTCTCAAGTTAGAAATTAGTAGAAAAAGGCGGCACTTTACCTGAAAGCACTGTTTTCACGGGCTCTCCGGAGGAATAATGTCATACTGCATGTCTTGCCTGAAACTACGTCACATTTTGCGTACTTACGGCTTTCATTCATTTACGTCTCGTTTTGATACAATTGAGTTTAATTTTGCTGTTGTAGCTATTTCAGTGATTTATCATCAAAGAGATTAGACGAATCTTGGAGGAATCGCGATTTCGAAAATTTGACACTTACTGCTCCCTTCGCTATCGCGGCAGCTGACTGCCAATTCGGACACAGCCGACACACTGCCACAGTCAATGATCATGGACACATCGCCAGACTGCAGACTGCACAGACGGGACTGCTCGTGTGATTACAGCTTAAATGCATGCAGTACTCATAAATTTACTTTTTTTACGTGTAAAAATTATTATTCCGCTTTCATTTTCTTCAACTATCTTTTGACAGGCACGCTACTCTTTTTTAGTGGCATTAAAATGAAATAGTTAATCAATCATTCATTTTCACTGAAACGGCCGGAAATAGCCGAAAATACGCGCATTAATTAGCTTCCAGGACTTCATGTCCACCTACCTTTCGTCCATTAAATAAACGTCCACCGCTCTTTATGTCCACTAAACGTTAAGTCCAGTCTTTTTTAAGTCCACATGATTTAATATCCAACCATGAATATGTCCAAAATTGTCCAAATGGACCACTAGACAAAGTACGAATTCAAGCAATCTGATACATGTTTCTTAACCAGAATTTCACGTAGAACACGATTCGCGCAACGAAAATTACTGAAACCAGCTTCTGATGAAGATATTAACCTTTTTATTTCACATTGGTTACGCGGATTTTGAACTGCCCGCTCACAAGAAACTCAAAGCTCTACGTGAGTCAAATCGCGCACCACAACGGTTTCAGCTAGCCTCTCAATCGATCACTGTTCATAACCCACCATGTGTTGTTCAAATTATAAGCAATTTGCTATAGCTGAGCCCGCAAGCGTCAAAATTGAGGTTGCCAGATTTTTATATCGCAAAGACTGTCATGATAATGTTCAGCGCGCGATGTGAATCACGTAGAGCATTGAGTTTTAATGAGCGGGTGGTTTGAATTCACGCATCAGGAATCATTTAATATCATTGTAAGGAGTTAATTTCGGTAATTTTTGTTGTGCGCATCGTGTTTTACGTGAAATTTTGGTTAAGAAACATGTATCAGAATGCTTAAATTCGTACCTTGTCTAGTGGTCCATTGTGGACATGTTATTTCCACATTTTTTTCTTCTCATTTAAATGACTGGAACCACCTCAAAAATAAATGCATACTACTATTACCTTCATTCTTAAAAATATTTCATTCATGAATCAAGTCATGAAAAAGAACAGACTCTAAGAGCAGATAAAACATATGCTCATGTGTACACTGTATGGATATGATAAGATGAAAACCAAAGCGGGAGCCTAGGAAACCCTCCAATGCCAAATTAAACATTTTTCAGTGACAGATGCAGTCAAAATTGAAAGTCTTCTTTAACTAGTTATTTCGTGCGCCTTCAATCTTGTAGGATACTGTGCAACGCCTCTGACGCGAAAAGCGTAAGTTGCTTAAAGCGTTGCGGCGCGGCAGGCAACCAACGTAACACGCGCCGCGCATAGGCGCCTACAAACCTAACGGGATACTTCACGCGTTGCGCAATGCTAGAAGTATCCCGTTAGGTTTGTAGGCGCCAGTGCGCGTTCCGCGCCGCTAACACGCCGCTCCGCTCTGTGTTAGGCTCTAATATTTAAACTCGTGGAGTCAGCGTTTTACAACTCATGATTTTGAAATGTTTGTACTCTCTGCATTGATTATTCCCCTTTAAACTGATGAAAAGGAAATTTGTAATACTGGAAAATATAATGTGTTTTTTGTAAATATATTAGGGGTTCCGTATCAAATTTAATGATTTCCAAAGCATTCAAATTTATTCTTTAATGTTTTGGGCTTTCATTTTGGGCATCAATTTCATTAAAAAAAAGAATGTACATTTAAGGCATATTTTATATCGGAAATTTCAAGGATAGAAATGAAACCAAGTATTTACCAAAGACAATTTGGAAAGATGAATCAAAAGGAGAAATTAACATTTCATTTAAAATATGAGTTTAGCTTACAACACCTCATTCTCTCTTAATTTTTTCATTTCGATATTGTCAGTATAATTTTACACACGGACTAAAATATGACGCTTGAATTTGATTTTAGTGGACTTTACATTTGTGGACTCAACTTAGTGGACATTTAAGTAATGCACTTAACAATAGTGTGAGCTTTAGAACTGTGGACGTAAAAATTGTGGACAAAAAGTCTGTGGACGTAAAAAAAGTGGACATAAAGTCCGGGTACCATTAATTCTAGAAGCAAAAGGTGTTCGATGTTGACTGTATTGTTGATGTGAAAAAACGTGATTATGATGTTGAAATTATGAGGTAAAGAAAGAACTCAACAATAAAATCATAATTTGATTACCGCATTGCTATCCCTTCTCGACAATTTCATTTTCCCGAGTTCAAGACCAGCAACAAAAGTTAGACAGGCACACACAAGAACCTAAAATACAAAGAAGAAAGAGAAGAATCTTGAAAATTTTGTTCGAAAGAAATCACATGCGGAGCTGCGTACTGAATCAAAATGCCTCGACTTAATTATTTTGACCATCAGAAAGAGAAAAGCTACGTATGACAACTAGAACAACAGATGATTACATTTACTTTTATATGTTACTTTTATATTTTAATTTTATATGTTTCGATCCTTGCATATCTGTCTACCTCCCATTGTCCGTAGTTATATTGCTTCAAAGTCTCAGACCAAGATGATTCTGCTCTTGTAAAAAATAAGTTCACATATCCTAGTGTTTTTTTCTCGTGAAGAATGAGTATTTTCGTTGTGAGGAAATAAAAGAGGTTTTTTTCATTTTTTTTTTTTTTAAATATATGTCACATGGTTTTTTTTTATTGAAAAAGTGGGATCCTCCCCCTCTCTCCTTTAATTTAAAACAGACGAAATATTTTCTTAACCTTAAATGATTTACCCAGGAGGGTTGGTGATCTGCGCCAAAATTTAGTATACAACCCCTGGTAAAAATTAACACCAGGTAACTTCAGTGAAATCACCGGCTCTCCTGTCGAAGCGACTTTTGGGTCAATTCGCATTTTATTAGAAAAATCAGCGGTAATGTATACAAAGAGTTTCCTGCGGTTGTTTAGTCCCTTATAGAATCAATAGCAGACCAAAGTGAAGCAGCAACCACGGGAGTTCATCTTTTTGAGCTCAGGGCAAAATCTGTGAAACTCAATGAGAGTGCATTGAACATTCAAGTTCAAGCACATATACTGCGTTCTCGGATTTAGTTTATTCCTTATCTAGCTCAAAGTTTTCCTCATGTATTAAAATATTTAGTCAGCTGCAAAATGTCGCTATCGTTGACGTCAGTTGAATTAGAGACTCTCTCGTAAAATAAACCAAACCCTTTGAACAGCTGCGAAGATTGTGCAGAATTGAGGAATGCTTGTTTTGCAGTTACTACAGTTCAACAAGTGAACTCAGTTCTGTGGCATCGATTGGTTTCTCTTGAACCGACGATAGCACCAAAACAGACTTTAATCTTTTTTTCTTATTTTTGGAGGAATCACTTACTCACCTCTATAGAGCTCGCTAGTGTACTACAATTGGCTCAGCAATTGATTCTGGATGCTATTTCAGTTGATATACCGATTATAAACTTGACTCATGAAGAAATGATTTTGTACTTTTAGGAATGGGAGGAATAGGTCCAATAAAACATGAATGCTTGAATCTTGGACCGGTATCTCAAGAGGACGGGTATAGTTAATTAATTGCAATTCCTGTGTTATTTTTGTAACTTTTGGGGAAATTGAGGCAAAAATTAAAATGCAGACAATGATACACTCCGATAGCTTAGCGGTTGATCAAGACAAAGTTTCACTCAAAATAGGAGTGAAAACCTCCGATTTGTGAGTCACCTTTCTATAAAACGTGACTCTGAACTGACATTGTTCGAAGACACTAAATCACGCGTCAGGCATCCAGTGAACGCGTCGATCGATCCCTCGTTTTGCGGTTTGCGTGTTGGATTTTTGAAGGGGTAAAGTTTTAGAGTTAGATTCTGCGGCAACAAAACTATGCTACAAAACTTGATGGCATTTTGTTTGTTTTTCTTCCTATCTTTGGTTATTTTACAATTTATCCCCAGGAGGAATTTTGAGGATCGTGATTATCTCAAAACTTTGTTTAACAGCATTGTGGATAACCTCATACCCTCTGACTGAATATATTGTTCAAATGGATTTGAACTTAAATTATCAGGCTACTAATGATCAGATAACTGATATTCAAATATGGATAGTCAATTGATGTCCCATATCTCTTTCTGATATATTAACTAATATTAATGTAATATCCTAATATCAAACACTTTATTATAAATTAATCTACCAAGGTCATGCCGGAACATAACTTATTTTTTGATCAATTTTCAAAGGGAAGATTACAATTTGAGACGCGAACAAGTTTCTTGCCAGAGTAAGTCAAAATTGATTTATATAAATAATTAAAGGCCAAAGAAACCGTACCTACAGCCTCACCGATCCAAGAACTCTGGGGCAAACGTGTAAAAATGCCAGTGCCCGCAAGGACTTTTGCAAACTTAAAAATCATAAAGCCTGGAACTGGTGTTGCAAATTAATGCCCCTTTTTTTCAACGTATAGATCCGCCGCTAATCGTAAGTTTTTCAATGATGATTATTACTCGATTTTTCTAATGTTCTTAATCACGTTTCTTTTCCTCCTCATTACAGATAAACTCCACGTTATTTTTTAACCCTAAGGATCCGCCTTCAGCCAAAAGAGTGTGTCAAAATAACACGTAGCAAATGGACGTATTTCTGCCAAACAGAACTACGTGCATTAAGACATGAGTCCTGAGACCCATAATAATGTATGCATAACAGGGCGCACATCAAAATGCATATAACTCCGTTTGGCAGAAATACGTCCACACGGAAAGAAATTAAATGTTGATTTAGCATTTGTACTGTTAAAAAGATGTCCGTCAAGTTTCAAATGCTGATTTTACATTTTAAAAAATGCTAAAGTAACTACGCCCACTGCAAAACGTACAAATTAAAATGTTATGTTAGCATTTTTGTATTGTAAAATCAGCATTAGAAACTTGTCGGACATCTTTTTAACAGTATAAATGCTAAATCAACATTTAATTTTTTTCCGTGCAAATGGTGTTTCCATTTGCATAAAGAGGAACATTATCCTGCACCTGCCAATGCAAGTGCATGCGTTTTCAGATTCTTGAACTTGAGCGATGGAAAGGTACTCCCAGGATGATGAAGGTCGTGCTGGAAGTAAATAAGTTTTCGTGATAAACGAGAGAATTGAAAAATAGTTCATGACGGAATATGGGACGCGCACGCGGCCCTCAACCGCCAGGAGTGCAAATAAGTGCAACGTGTATTGGGCATGTCAGATCTGGCAGCTAATCCTGCAATTGCACGTAAGGATAATGGCAAGTCTCGATTTTCCCGCATGATTTTGCAACTTTGAAATAAATGCCCTCTTTGAAGACACTCTGTTGCTCCTCATTCAAATGCAGTCCAATTGAAGCAGGATTTCAAGTGGGATGACCTCATCCTTACTCACCATTAACCGAAAGTTTATAATTACAAAAAATAAAGGATCGGACCGCCGGAGATCGCCCAAAATCGAAAAATCAGATCCAAACTGTTATCAAATTTTTGAGCAGTAGCTTATCTGACCTTCCGGTTTGAAATTATTCAAAATACATACTGAGAAAGAGTATTCAAAACCGAATAAAGATCGAGTTAGTGTTCTCCACCGTATAAACCAAACGTCTGCTTCAGCCAATAAGTTCATTTTTTCCTACCAAAGCATGTATGCGCTTAAGACGAGTGAGATTCATCCTACAAATGTAAATCTTTTGTGTGAGAGTACAGGTTAGAATTTTTTTAAAAAAGGCGTTTGAAATAATTCATTTCTGTCAAATTTTGTTCAACCTTTATATATTTACACAATTTTTACGGGTTTTCCCCAGTATACCTACTCCCAAAATTTAATGTCTGCCAATTTATTTTCAATTATTTTGACCACCACAGTTTAGGTATTTTTTTCGCCTCGTCAAGAAGTGCTTTTCTACCCTTTTAAACTAATTTGCTTCAAATGCATTACGCGATGCTCATTTCATATCTAGTTCACAATTGGCACAGGCTCATCGACAAAAACTTTTAATTTCTTACAACCAGAACAGACGCAGCATCACTATAAGAGCGTTGATTAAAACAATGTGTTCTTGCGTGCGATTTCTCTGATGCTTCCGTTGCTGTGATGAGTATTGTGTGTGGGTACATCTAAAAATTCCACTAATTAGTCAGACTATGCGTTGCCCTTGACAATATACAGACTACAGTAGGTGTCCCGAAAGCACTACTGAAAGCATGCTTCCAGTTTTTCAGCAATCGGTAAAAGCTATCGACTTGCGGTTTTCGCAGGGCTCTAGATTAAATCCTAGCAGGTTTGCTACGAGGTCTTGTGTGTAGGTCCCAAACTTGAAAATTTCCAAAGATATAATATTATAGAAATAACGTCTAAAGCGAAATTTTGGCATTTTTCCAGCACGTTTTTAGAATCTGGAAGCGGGGAGCTCGAAAACCCTTTTAAACCTGAGGATTCAATTGAGAGCCTTGTATGCGCAAAAACCGTTAGTAATTAGATTTTACCGTTAACTCAAAAACGGGAAGAATTCGGTACTTTCGGGATACCTTATGCAAATTTTCCTCTCCAGTTCGTCGCAGCCGACTCTATACACTCTTTACACCATTCAGTATTTTTAGCGATTTTCGTTTTAACTTTTGACGCAACAGACCCCAGTCGCACGCGTCAACGTTCTTTAGTGATAATTATTCGTTTCAACTATAGCCGCATTAGCCTTAATACATAGGAGAGGTTTTTTGATGCTATTCATTAGTAACACGTGGTAGCGTCAACTGAAAGTTTATTACCACAGTAGTAAGCGTTACCTTATTTGATTAAAAACATGTATGAGGATTATTACTGCCAAAAACCACTTGTCAAACATAAAACTTCCCTTCCCCATTCTGGATACAAATTATCTTACGATATTACTGGAGACATAAATTAACTAGTGTTATTTAGTTATCCTCGTGTTTTAGCCTGCAAAATGACATCAAGTAGAGCCAGTTCTAGATTACTTTTCCCCTTTTGTTGTGTGTAATTCCCTATCCCGCGCATGTAGCAAAAAAGGAAAAGTAATTTGAAACTGGTTCTAGCTATTTGTGGATACAAGCCATACTATAAGTGTTAAGCTGCAAGTTTTTTGAATGGAGCTTTTTTGGTTTTTTAAGAAGAAAAATATCGTACCTTGAAAAAATGTACAATGGTCTCTCCCTGATCTCGATTTTCTCCAAATCACAAAAAATTCCCCGAACTAATTCATGTCTGAAAGGTCTTAACTGCTCATGGATCGTAATCGTCACAGCAAAGAGGTAAGATTGTATCGATATCGATTGGTTCAATATGTTAGCATAGCCTCAAAAGCCAATTGAGTAATCCAAGGGAGCGGTTTTTTGTCATTGATTTTTGATACCTACGAGTACAAAATGGCTATGAAGAGTAAAATTACTAGGAATTTTCTCCTTTTAAGTTTCTCCAACTTAAATCCTAAACTTTTTGTTTGAGGTTCTGTTCTATTGTTTTGAACCAAACGATACATCGAACCACTATCGAATACGATCTATTGTAAACGTTGCTTCCCATGCACCAAGGATTCTCCTTAATTATTGATTATGGTAAACAAACTTCTAGTTCTTTTCTTCTTCCCCTTAATTTAGGCTTAAAGATATGTAAGCACACAGTGTTAAACACAATACTTGGATTGAAATTTCAGAATAAAAAACGGGATGATGCTAGTTTTCTCTGTTAACCACCCATTTGCGACTGGCCGCGGCGGGGTGCTGAGCGGGCGAGACAGAACAACAGCCCATCATCAAACGGTCTCCATTCGAAATTCAACCTTACAAGTCTTTTGAAGGTCCACGCAGAGGTTCTGAAAATAGTATTATAATAAGCTTTTCTGGATTTCGTTCCCAGGAGGCCCTTGAAATTGCCGGTCAGCTCGCAGATGCATTCGTTCTCGAAAAACGGATCCCCGATCAAGATTGTTCCTGTTGCGACGGGAATCCAATTGTTTCTTTGACGCGCGTATACGAGTCCGAACGACTGATGACATTCTTTGATGCAGTCTCTCGCTTCTAGTTGATCAGGATCTGCGTTCGCGGCCACAAGGTAGCCCAACCCTTGATTCTGGAGGAGCTGATTAAATTGCTGCTCCGGTCCTTGCGGAACCTGAGGTTGTTCCATTCCTGATGAACACAAATCAACAATTTGGATAAAATGAGGTAATGAATCTTTACCCACTGCACCTAAAAACATACAAATCCACAGCGTTTGTCCGAAATCACATATCGACGGTGCAAGTCGGCAATCACATAACTCGTTTGCGGTGTCTGAAAATCTCCGCAACTATGTTATTTTTTTAAAGGAGAACAAATGGACATGATTCCTTGAAGTTATTGCAGAATTTTCTTCGCACATAGAAGAAAAATCACGGCAGTTTTAAAGAATTACCGTTGAGTAGTTTTCCGTTTAAAAAATAAAGTATGACAGGAAGTCTGCGACGTCGCAAACCGAGTTATGTGATTGCCGACTTTCACCGTCGATATCTCGTTTGCTGTGTCTGAAAAGCTCCGCCTCTATGTAATTTTTAAAAAAGGAGAACAAATCGACATCATTCCTTGGAGTTTATGCAGAATTTTCTTCACACATAGAAGAAAAATCACCGCAGTTATGAAGTATTGCCGTTGAGTGGTTTTCGGTCCGACGGTCGACGTGACGCATATTAGCGCCTACAAGACCGCGTGAATACTTCACGCATTGCATCAAACACAGTGCAGTCGGCTTGGTCTCCTCAAGACGCATATTAGCGCCTACAAGTCCGTGTGAATACTTCACGCATTGCGTCAAACACAGTGCGGTCGGCTTGGTCGCCTCGAGACGCATACTAGCGCCTACAAGACCGTGTGAATACTTCACGCATTGCATCAAACACAGTGCGGTCGGCTTGGTCGCCTCGAGACGCATATTGGCGCCTACAAGACCGTAGGAATACTTCACGCATTGCACCAAGGAAATTGTATACGTTTATTAAGGCTTTTGATGTTATAGATTTTCTGTCGCATTTCATTTCAAAAAACGAAACCTTCCTTACTTTTTGAAAAAAATCTAGGAATATCAAAGGCTCGAATCTGATCGAATTTGGCAAATCATCAGACGGCATCGCTGTTCTTGAAAAAAAATTCGCGAAAATCGGCATGGTAGATATCCACTGTTTAGATCTCACCGGTACAAGAAATCGCTTTTTTTTAATTATATAGAAGATAGTCCCTTCCTTAGGGTAGGTGCTGTTTAAGGAAAGATTAAGAATACTGCCCACAGCAAACTTATTAGGTAGGTACATTTCGATGGGGGAATTTCAGAAATGCTCATCTCGGTTTGCGGCATTGCAAAGTTCCTGTCATAGTTTCTTTTCTGCATTGAAAATTACTGAACGTCATTTCTAGAAAACTCCGTTGATTTTTCTCCTCTATGTGAAGAATACTCTATGAAAATTTCAAGCCATGATTTAAGTTCGGTCTCGTTTCAAAAAATGAAATAGATGCAGAGATTTTGAAACAACGCAGCATATATACGCATGTTTGAATTTTCATCAACGATTTTGAATGCGTTGGAAACCACATTCATCACACCAATCATGTTTGGAAGCCACTCTAAAAAGCATTAGCGTGGCTCTTGTCGAGCATTTTCAATTTCACTACGGCCGCCGCACTGTGGATCGAGTCAATGAGAGAGGTCGGACACGATTTAAAAACTAAAATGTAGTTGTTTTAAAAGTGGTTCCATCGATTTTCTCGATTTTTCAAATTTTCTATCATAAACACCCCTTAAAATTTAAAATTTGACGAAACTAACTTCGACGTTTGCAGTTTTAGTCCAAAAAAGCAAAAGCAAACTCCTCCATTGACTCGCTCCATTGTGCGCCGGCACGTTTTCCTCAATCACCGGGATTTAGGTTTGCCCGAATTCTAATCGTTAGTATAACTATTTATGTAAGTACTGCAAATTTTACCCATGTTCACCGATCGATATAGTAACTGAATGGGTGAGAGTCAGAAGGGCTTAATTACATGTGCGGCTTCAAAGTTTATCCTGACAACTTTTTTATCTGTATTCATTCACGGGTTCATGTTATGAATAAAAAATTGAGAGAAGTTTTTGCCAAATAACAAAAGACGTACATATAAAATCCATTAAAAAATTAAAAAAGAAAAGCATAACCATTCTTTAATGTATTAATAAAGTTGTTAAATGAAACTTCGCTACGTTTTATGCCAGTAAGCCCCCTGGCTCCCATCTTGTGTGTTAATATTGTCTAAGGACCATTAAACCAAAAAATATTATTGCCTGCTGCAATGCTTCAGAAAACGTTGAAATGCACAAAATCAATTAGAAAAGAAACTAGCGTCTACAGTAAGTTAACATTACAAAATTAGACAGCTTAAACTTCTCGTCTTTGAGGAAAATCATAATCAAGGTAGGTCAAATCGACTGCCTGACAATTTTCAGGAACATTCTCAAAAGTATGGGGAATTTCTCTAAATTCTGGCTGCATTATCAAAATTGAATTGTTATTCTTATGTTACTGGATTCCGTCTAAATGAGGGAAACAGTTGCATGATCTTAGAAACACCTGATGATGATAACAAAATTACACTTTCCATCCTTCAAATTACTAACGTTTAATATGGAAAAACGTTCCTCGTCTTTTAGGCACCGCACGCAATATCCTAAGCTGTTAAAAAAAATCTTGTTCTCAGTGGAAATTATTATTTTTATCGTTAAACACCGAACATAACGACACAAAATTACTTCGGAGACACGTTTTCACTTTAGACTTCGATTTTCCTGAGGAGCGGGAAATTTAAACGATTAAATTTCCAAGCATGAAACAAGCAACTTTCTCGCTTATAAATTGAATTTTTAAATTTTCAGGGTGGGTAGTATATTTTTTACGTGACGCTTGCATATAAATTATTACGATACTAGATTCCTTGCATTGTCTGGTCGTGCATAATTGAATGGCTGAGTGTGAAAAGGGCATTTCTTGCTTGCGGAGTCTTAGAGCCTCCGTTAGCGTTTCATCCACTATAACAAAAGCAATTGCACAGAATTCGTTAATACTTCTACTGAATTTTCTTCATGATTTTAAAATGCTAAAAATTAAAAATTCCAGAAAATTCACTCGATAGTTTCCTCTCTAAAATATAAATTAGCAGTGGTGATTCTAAATCACTGCAACCATGGAATGCTCTTTCTGCACCCAACGCCGCAATTGCTGGACTTAGGTTGAAATGTACGATTTAAATTTACCTTTCGAAAATTGGTATACGAGGAATAACAGTAGCACTGTCTTGCACATCGCTCCATGAAACTCCAACATAGAGACTGTAGGATAACTCGAGCCGTATGCTCACACTCTATACCGAAGATTTAATGATTTTAAGGTGAAATATAAGTCGACCTTTGAATGTGACACAAATGAGTGTCTTTTTTATCGGTATCTGAATATCGCGGAATCTGAAAGTGCGCTCTAGTCTTCTACGTGCGTCAAGTGAGAGCATTACGGAGAGCTAGAAAGAGAGGGAGCGATAAAATATGAAAAGAAAAAATGAATTGGAAAATGGCTACCTCTACATTTCTAGCCCATGCACGTCAGCCAAGGTTGTCATTCCAGTCAATTTTTCGTAGGGGCGTTTGCATGTTATACGTTCTTTTCACTAAAAAAACTTTGAAACAATCAGAAGGAGTTTGTTCACACGTAATAAATTAACGCTACACCGAGGAGCACCCGAAATATCCACTTTCCCGCACTAGGTCGCCCTTTTAAAAATGACTAAATTTCCCGGAAAACTCAGAATCGTTTTTCTCGTCCTAAAAAACCGCCGGATAGCGAATTGTATCCCAATCCGGCGATCAAAATGGAGATGTCAAATTCTCGTTATTCTGAACTTTGACCGGCCATCATTTTGTGACAAATCAACGTTTTTACCTGCGGTTTGCGCAATTTTTTTTATTTTTTTATTTCGAACGATATGTCACAAAAAAGGGTTGCCATTTGGAAACAAAGTTGACCCCACTATTTTTAGAAGGGGCTACCCAAAAATTATGGAGGGGGCGAAAGGTGCCCCCTTTAGACCTAGAAACACCCCACAGTTTCAAAGGAGGAGTATTGCTGAGGGCCTTTTCAGGCCCCGACTGGATTTTGCTGAATGTTACATATTTTCAAAGTACTAGTCCTCGGTAGCCTGTATGCCAAATATTACCGAACGAAGCCGATGCAAAGGTGCAGCAGCGCCTTAAATCCAAAATTCTGGCATCGATAAATAGTTATTTTCGTCGATTTTTTCGACTGATACCACTCTTTCAGCAGATGTTTCCTACGTATTTGTTTGCGTACTTTTCAATTCTGGCCTTAAAAAAGGTCTCCGATGAATTTAAGGGGCCTTACAGTCCAAGTAGGCCGCTAAACACGACATCCCGGTCAGTTTTCACATCATGGGTATCCAGGTACAACTATACTTTTTTGGTATGTTGTATATATTGATAAGAGCTGTTCCGTACATCAATAGAAGAGTTGTACTCCACTTTCTTGAACCTTAAGCGTGGCAATATATCAAATTTTGGCCATTTTGGCTCTTTGGAACGATTTTTCTCTAAAATTTGACAACGTAGAAAGAAGTTTCACTGAACATTTTTTATTCATTTTTTTGCGTTCCTTTCAAATTCGTACGCGGTTTTTGGTTTAAATTGAGTTCTACGTGAGCAAGATTGTAAAAACCCCTACGGACCGTGCGACCTTTTAATATTCATCGGAGGCTTTTTTTAAACGCAAGAAATGGAAAGTACGCAGACAAATTCGTAGAAAAAATCTGCTGGAAGAGTGATATTAGTCGAAAAAGTCGACGAAAATAACTATATTATTCGATGCCAGGATTTCAGGATTTAGGCGTTGCTGCAGCTTTGCGCATGGGCTCTGTTCGGTGAACTATTTGGCATAGAGTCTACCTAGGACTATAGTACTTTAAAAATATGAAACATTCGGCAAAATCCAGGTGGAGCCGGAAAATGCCCTTAACGATACTCCTCCTTTCCATGTCAATTGGGAAATAAGTTACATTCGGGTAAGTGACTCTTGGATATTTCTGTAGATTATACAGGAAGAACGCCAACAATGAGGAAAAATTGCGCGCAGACGCGGGAAATTTGATGAGAGGCTATGCAAACTACGTTATTTCACGCCCAAGAGTGGATTTTAGACTATTTTAGACTGTTTTGATGTATTCATCGTCATTTTCGAGTAATTTTACCAACAGAAAGTATTTTAAATTAAATCGGCTGTATCTTCAGTGTGCAACATATCACTATCCATTCCAAACCTTTGATTTTGGCATCATTGCGGCTACAGTATTCCATAATGCAGAAAGAGTTTTCCGTTCAGAAAACATCTATTGATGTTGTATTTCGCCTTTTTTTTGGGGGGGGGGATGGTTGTGCCTTCATCCAAGGTGGTCTCTAAAAATTAGTGTCTTCAATGAAAATGGTATCTAAAAATGAGAACCTTCACCCGAGGCAAAGTCCAAAAATGGGATGTGCCATCCTGAAATACCCACCCACACTAGAATGCCACTAGAATGGGCCACTAGACAAATTCTGAACTAGAAAAAAAAAAGCGAGTGTTTTCTTTGCACGTTTAAAACGTTAAGTTAGAAGCACATCACGCAACTAGAAGTGTTCGGAAACTCAACTCTTGGACGCGATATCAACAAGTACATATTTAGCATGTATTTTTAAAGCAGGACAAGTGAAGTTAGTTTACTTAAATAACATGTTTTAACTTATATTAATTGTAAACATATATTTTTGGTGCTGATTTTCAGACTTCCTGTCGTGTGATTCATTTTCCTCGTGAAATGTTTAAGAGAAATCATGTTACGTTGAGATCAGTGTTCGAAACTCACTATAAAGTTTTAGGAGCCATGTGGCCCATCAAGCTCAATTTTTAGGGGCCATTGAAGATTTTTTAGGGGCCGAATTGACTTTTTGCCTATATATCACGGCGCATTTTGTAAAAAGTTAGACGCGGAATATTTTAGTTACAGAACTAGTAGCTGTAACTAGTGATTTTCGAAAAATTATCAATCAGAAAAATTCGGATTTTTTTTTTGGGGGGGGGAGGGGGCACTATTCAGGGGCCACGTTGGCTCAGAGCCTACAGTTTTTAGGCGCCATGACCGATTTTTTAGGCGCATTTGGCGAGTTGGCGCCTGTGAGTTCTTCGAACACTGGTTGTGATTTACTTCACACCATGTCTAAGAACTCATTACATTCATTGAAAGCAAGCAATGAGCATGTCAGCACGAGAAATAATCATCAGACGATCTTTCTAATCCAAACGAGAGAAGTCTTGCAAAATATTACTGCAAACCCCACTTTTCAGAGAACCTGAGTTATTTATTAACACGTGGCTTGGATAAAAACTTATGCTGATTGATAAATTTTTTGCTTCATCAAAGATAAATTTTGATGATGCAGAATTGCAAATTTTACACTGTTCCGCACTACCAATATCGAGGATGAAACCATAAAAATGCGTCTTTGTACATCAAAATTTATTTCAAAATTTATTTTCAAAGTAGTCAAAAATTCAACGGAATTTATTAAAATTTTCTTTTACTTTTCGTCTGTGAGTACAGAATATTCTTTGAGGTTATACTTTAAAAAAATTAAAAAAAGAAGAAGAACTTTGGAGACATCGCAGACAAGTTTCATCATGTATTCGCCCGTGCGTAAATGAAAAAGGTAATAAACCTTCATATCTAGTATTGTTAACCCTTCCTCGAATCCGGTCTAAAAAAAATTAAAACAGAGAACTTTCTCATCACGGGCTTTAATTTTAACCGCGCATTTCGTTAATCCCGCGCTTTTCGAGAAAAAACATCAATTTTTTAGGAGCCTCTTCCTCGGAATGGCTCTGTTGGGTACGCAGAGGACAGAATTAGATGATTCGACCGAAAACTTGTAAAGTACGTCACCCTCCCCCCCTCTTACGACGAGTACGTCAAGAACGCCTGAAATCTACTCCGTAATCACAATAGGTCACTAGACTATGAGACGAATTTTGACTTGCGAATTCATTTTTCTGGAGGTAAATGACAAGTAGAACATGATGCGCACATTAAAACGAGAGAAAGTAACTCGGAAACTAAGGAATACGCAGTTCAGAAAGCGCAGCTATTCCACAAATTTAAAACTCCCATGTTTCGCGTCGAACAGAATGACGTCATCTGGCGCAAATTAGAAGAGATCTCGGCTTTCTACGACATTCGTCAAATGTTTTTCTACTTCTCCTTTGTAAAAATGATTAGAAAGTCGAAATTATTTACCTTCTGAATTAAATAATTAAATCTGATTCGTGTTATCTGTATAGTTAACAAGCAACAATTTCACATGAAAATACGTTTAATTTTAACAAACATTGGTGAAAAATGAAAGGAGATAGCGAAGTAAAGAACACACGGTTTAGTGACGCATTGAAGGGCTTACTACAGACAAGTGGGATAGGTTCAATTTTTGAAAAAAATTGAGGTATTACTAATTTCAACTTAAAATAGTCTTAAAATATATTATGTGAAAAATTCACAACTGAAAGCCAATTTTTAAGCATTAAAAAGTCAGTTTAAACTTGTTTTCCAAATTTCTCGAAACTGCAAAAACACTGATCATATCCCACTTGCTCTCCAAGCCCCTCAAATCGGGTAGTCCGAATCACACGTTAACTTTCCCCTTCTAAGTAGGCCCTTTTTTTTTCAACATCGGATACAGTTAAAAATGCCCCGTAGAGAAAAACGATTGAAGACACCGCACCAAGAACAGCCTATAACTGGAAACCGCGTTTTGAGAAAAACGCATTTAAAGTCTTGTTTTTGATGTACTGCGCAGACTTTTCTATGCAGGTACCTTGTTTTGGTGTTGTTGGGTGACCTAACCCTTCTATTGAAGGGTGCCGGGTAGATTTTGCGATACATTTTGGGTTTATACTCTCATATATTTAATTTAAAAAAGCGGTTTATAGGCCATTATTACTCCCAACAGTCATTTTGGTGGCAATATGAAGTATAAATCATTTTAATCACCTTTGATTAACGCAAAATGAAAGAATATCGATAGTGAGTAAAGGAAGGGGTAACTAGCACCTTATAGGCCCGTTTATAGGTCGTTCTTGCACCCATCGATCCAGAGGCCTGACTTAACTCGGAAAAAAAAAGGTTTTTCGACCTCGAGCCGTTACCTATCTATATTCTATCGATACCACAGCATAGTCCAGGGTGCGTAGAATCCGAAAAGCAGATGGGTGTAATAACGACCTAAACGCCTATAGGCTGTTCTTGGTGCGGTGTCCTCAATTGTAATCTTCCGTCACATTCTTACGGCGCAATGATACAACCATTTGAACTCTTCCGAATGCGTTAGGTATCACGCCGCATTTGAAGGCGTTTTCAAAACAGCCAAGTTCCGATACCCGGATTATCGTT